TAATCATCAAACTGGAGACGTTACGACTGGTACGGAACAAGTGAATTATCAGTATCAAGGATATGATGCTAGTCAAACTTCAAGAGGCACTACGACTGAAACCGATCTCGCTAATTATCAATATAATGAATATGACACAAATCAAACCGCTGCAGAGCCTATCACTGAAAAGGAACAGATTTTGTATCAATCTTATGACACGAGTCAAGCAGGATTTGATAATACTGTTGCTACAAACTATCAATATCCTGCATATGAAACTAATCAGTCCGCTGCGATAGAAACTGTCGCTGAAGCAGATCAATCAAATTATCAATATCTAGGCTACAATATGGGAGAAATTGCTGTTGATGGTACAGATGGACAGGGACAATTTAATTATCCGTACCAAGAACATGAGACTGGTCAAGCTACAATAGACAATAATGATGAGACAAGTCAAGCTAATTACCAATATACAAGTTATGATGCAAGTCAAATTAATCATCAAGCGACAAGTCAACCCACAGTGGACAACAAGGTTGAAACGGAACAATCTAATTATTATCAAGGATATCAACACGTTCCTTCTCATCCTTCACAAACTTCTCCTCCCCCGATGTCTCCATCTCCAAAAGGATCAATCTTAATATCCTGCCCATATCCTCAATGCGGGGGAGAGAATAAAAGTACCGCTAAATTTTGTTCAGATTGCGGGAAGCAAATTAACAGTAATGTAATGCGCTCAATAATTCCTGCAGTTGGCATCTCTGAAGTGATGACCACTGAGATTTATAATAATGCGAATGCTTATTCTGAACAATATTCAGCATCATCGTTTGCTTCATACGGTAATCATGACACACAATACCTAGAAAGGGATTCTGGTGTCTCATTGGATCCGCTACAATCAGACTATCAACAATATTATGGTACTGATGATGTGAATGCTGTAAATGATCCTTTGGGAAGAACTAAGGGGTGCCGTCCTATTATTGCTTTTGGATTTGGAGGAAAAATGTTTACAATGTTTCCAAGAACAGTTCAACGTTTCACTAGTACTGATCAAAGTACACCCATCACTAAATCTGCACCTGGTGTTTTTTCTGTTCGTGTTCTCAAAGACATCATTCCTGTATCAGACATTACCGATTTTCCAGGTCCTTTGCTTATGGATAATAACAGAGGTGGAATAAAGGCTAAAAGGAAAAGTGTATTAAAATATTTAGATGATCAAATTCAAGTAACAGAAACGAAATTAAGTTCCTTTAACGGAGAAGAAATTGAAAAGAAGGAATTAGAAATGATTATTATTGTCTGGAATTTATTTAAAATAATGTTCGAGAATGACGGCATGTTAATTGGAAGGTTAGTTTTATATTATATTTCTATCGATTTTTTCAATAACAGCTACAATATTTAAAATTATCCTCCAATTATTATGCGGAAAAATAAATTAGTTCAAAAGTTGAAGAACTTGTTCGTAACATTTTAGTTCCTTTCGCATCTAAAAGCGACGATGATGAAGTAAACTTTACAGTTCCTGCAGATACAAGTTTTGAAGATTTATCACAAACACCAGAATCGACTTCACTCACGTATTCTGTTTCATCTAAAGCTGTCGACAAATTACAAGAATTATTGTTGAAAGGAGATCGTGTTGTAGCAATAAATCATGCAATGAATGAAAATTTGTGGGCACATGCATTGATAATTGCCAGTTGTGTCAATAAGGATTTATGGAAAGAGGTTGTTACCGGGTTTATAAAACATGAAATGGGAACTCAAAAAGGAGAAGCCTTAGAGTCAAATGGAAGAGAAAGTTTAAGAGTGTTATATTCTTTGTTTGCTGGTCAAGGACAGAATGCAGGTATGTAAATTATATAATATGTTTGAACATAATTATTTTTTTCCTTTTGTATTTAATATTACAACTATTCAATATAGCTAAGGAATTCCTTCCGTATAGTAATTTACTTAATCGTATTACTCAATCACCAGTTGCAGCAATGATTCCTACGTTACCAAATACTTCACATTATAGCTCTAATCCCAATGTTCCATATGGTGGTGCGTCAATTTCAACGTCACACTCATCCTCATCAGCTCGTGATGTTCCACTTGATAGTTTAGTAAAATGGCGAGAAACAATAGCAATGATCTTGGCTAATCGAACACCGGGAGATAATCAGGTGATTTCTGCTCTCGGAGATATGCTTAAAGAATGTGGTTGGGTTCATGCTGCACACATCTGGTACGTAATTATGCTCGAGGATTGGAATTTTTATAATTTTAAATTTTTTATTTATTTGTAAATTTTATAGTTATATGTTATCCCCAACGGTGTCTATTATATCTGGCTTTGACGCACCGAATGTTCGTCTCACACTATTAGGCATGGATTACACACATAATCTGTCCATAAGTAATTTTCATAATTGGCAGTCCTTGCGTATGACTGAGATATATGAATTTGGACTTTCATTGAATAGTAATGATGGTGGATTACCTCACCTACAGGCATACAAACTACTTTATGCATGGTGGTTGGCCGATTGTGGATATTTGAATGAATCTAGAAGGTATATATATTATTTATATTTTTTCATCATTATTATACTCATTTTACGAAATATTTTAATTGTATTGTCTAAATCTAGATATTGCGAATCCATTGCAAACATTGTAAAGGTATATACCAAAGGTTCACCGTATTTCCACGGCTGCTTCTTACAAAAATTGAAGGATTTAACACAACGGTTGCTCGAACACGGAGGAAATAATAATGGGTAAGTGAACTTAATATAATTTACGCAATTTAAAAATTTATTAACTAAAAAATGTTTAATGATCAATTAGCATAAATGAAACATCATCATGGCTTTTTGCAAAAAAAATGCCGAAAGCGACCCTCGACTCCTTATGGGGTTCATTAGAAGGAAAATTCCACAAGTTTGTTGCAGGAGACACAGTTGAAGAAAATGTCACGAAGACATCATTTTCAAACACTCAAGAGGCTGTTGGCCCATTTTCGCATTTCAGTTCCATCACCCATCCTACTTCTGAAGTGCCATCACGTAGTGCGTCTGCTTCAGATTTTCGCTCTATTCCTAATCCTATAAATACGCGTCGTGCAACTACTCCAAATGCGATAATTCAAAGACAATTAAATGGAAATCAGCAAAGGTTGTCAACTCCTACTGGTGTACAGTATGATTTGGTTAATAGTTATAATAGTAACTTTAGTCCTACCACACCTGATGGACAAAATACAATGTCTTCCGTTCCTGAAGGAGGGTCTATTGGAACTTCTCCAACGGATGTTAAAAATGAGTATAATAATTGGCAATCGTTTAATAATAGCCAGCAATATAACGGACATTCAAATGAACAACAATCAACGCAATCGGGATACAACTATTCATTATCGGACAATTCTAATGCTGAAGAAAATAACAAACAAAAGCAACAAGCCATGTACCCATATTATCAACCATTAGGAAATAATACATCTACATACAACAATGAATCTGCATGGTGGAGCAGTCCAAATGCCGATTCCAATGTAGCTCAAAATGTGGACCAGGCACAAACCGATGTTGTTGACGGAGGTGATTTTATATCTCCAATGGACAGTAGTGGTTTCACCCCATTTTTTTCGGCTCCGGCTCCAGCTCCAGCTCCTGTAACTACGACAGACACATCGAATCGTAATAATGATTTTGATGATGATTTTGATGATTTGGGTTTAGGAAACAATGCATTCGGAACCAAAAAGAAGAATGATCACCCCGCAGATTCTGAAGCTGACACAGGCGCTGACACTGAAACTAACAATAATACCCCTCAAACAGAACAGAAACATGAAGCAAAACAGGAGGATAAAAAAGGTAACGATATTATTCGCCTAATGAGTTTGTTATATGTATTATCCATTTTTATCCCTTGATAGATCATAAATTTATTTATCTTCAGCAGAAGAAAAGACGGGATGGTTTGGAAGATGGTTTGGAAAGAAAGAAGTCGGCGGTAAAACTGCTAATTTAGGAGAAGAAAGCTCATTTTACTTTGATCCAGTTCAAAAAAGATGGATTAATAAGAAGGTGAGAAATTATCTAATATAACTATACTCATTAATTTATATATTACACGTCATAAATTATTTCTCGCAATCATTTAGGCCGGTGCTGAGACAATTAATGCTTCGACTTCTCTGCCGCCACCTCCACAACGTTCGAAAACGACCTCACCACAACGCTCACAATCATTGACGAGTTCAAATCCCAGCAGGCAGTCATTACCACCTACAGATAATAAAAACTTTACAGGCCCGCCAATTAGCGCTACTCCGCCTCCACAAAATAAGGGTGGTCGTGCATCAAGCGCAAGCATGAAAAAAAGAGCTCGATCAAAGTAATAAATTTTTCATTTTTTTTAAAGAACACTTTACATTTTTGAAATGAATATTGCACATATTAATAATATATTTCTTTTTTTTTTTTTTTCCTTAGATATGTAGATATAATGAATCAACCCACCTAATTAATATGATAGTAATATTAAATACTGTATTTCATATGAGTCCATGTTACAAATTACATGGGTTGTATGATATATTTTTTTTATTATATTACAATCAATGTATATTTATCATAACCTAACCTAAAACAAAAAAATTTTATCTGATTTGATTCTTTTTCTTTATATAATAATTTTATTTTTTATAATAGTTCAACTTTGATTTTATTCTTTTTCTTCATATATTATTATTATTTATAATAATTCAGTTTTGATTTATTTATTAATCTTATTACATCTATCCAAACAATAAATAATTCACCTTATTTTAAATATGGTTTGGTATTTTTATAAAGATAATTGAGTTATATGTGATTTAATCGAGTTTTTGGTTTTCACAGGCCTAATTATCTCGAATTGTTTCCTTTTTAATTTATCGTTATGTTGTGGGAAACGAATATCTACATTAGAG